GGAATTAAATGGAAGTTACAAAAGTATTTCATAATAAAAGTGAGCTAATTAAGTTTCTTAAGCAATTAAATTTCTTCAGAAAGGTGTTTTTTTTTTCCCCCACCATATCGCTGTAATAGCATATAAGACATTTTATCTAGCTTTACTTCCTTTCGTTCCTGGGCTGTTGCAGAGTTTGGATAACAATCTGATGTAAATAAGACATGAATGACAACCTACAGAAATTAGTGCAGTCTCTTTGAGTACTGTTTATTTGTAAGGAGTTTCCCAGAATTCCTAATGCTCTGCAGGTCTACCATTCATGTGTCCCTCCCATTCTTGTTTTTACATTCAGCATGTTTCTGTAACATTCCATTCTCAGGCAGTCTTTCACCTCGCTTCAGAAGTTAATAGTATCCATCTCCAGCCGGATAAGGAGGTTTTAGCACTCGTGTTTTTACATGGTGTAAACGTCCTGAAACAAAGACAGAGGCAATTGCAATGAAGGAGCAAAAATTGCTTTTTCTATGTTATGTCTGATTTATGTGTTCAGATCCTTCCTAAATGCATACTTGCCTATAAATTTATGGATAACAAGATAGTGAGAGTTGAGGTTAACTGTTTTTTTATTGTGTCTAAATATAAATACATATTTAATTAGACAGTAAAATTATATGTAGAACAGTTATGTGTTCAGCACATTTCAGAATCAACCCATAAAGTTTTGCAGTGGACAAAGCTGGATGAATCCAAGCATACTTGCAAAAGTAAGGGCAAGTAGCAATAATGATTTAATGGTGCACTAAAGAATGTTTCCTTCTCAGAGGTGGATGAGGGCAAAAAAGAATAGCTCAGGAACTGGAACACCTCAGTAGAGCTATCTTGGTAGTCTAGTAATAGCCTAACAAATGAAAGAAGGTCAAAGAAACCAACATATGTGTTTAACTTGAAAAAGATGTGCAGGAGCAGTGCAATATGATGTTTTCATGACAGCTAAGCTCTGGGTAGGATTAATCTGTAGAGACTAAAGACAATTTTTACCTTTACCCTCTGTTGGAGTACTGCTGAGGACTTTTGATGGCTTTCACTTTTGCTGGATCTTCTTCCAGCAAGATGTCCTGGAAGACAACTCATACCTCAGCAAATGTCTTGTCTGTGCTAAATTGTAAAAACGTTTTATTAATTTTTAGGACTATTCTAATCCTTTCTGAAGTGACATGGTGACTTTATTTTATCTTTCATTGTCTATTGTAATTGTGCACCATTTTTAATTCTTGAATAAACTGATCATGAATTTGTCCCATATAATACAATTAAAGTACTAATCTTTGTTTTGAAAGTTATCTCTTAAGTAAATGGGTAATTCATGTTGGTCTCGTTTTCAAAAATTTGATTCTTATAGGTAGTGTATCCTACAGAAGTTCTCAGCCATCTGGAATAATGTCAAGTCAGAATAGTAGAGCAGGATCTACAAGGTAATTAAATACCTTTTCAAGATGTTACCATTTCCTATGAGAGACTGAAATTTCTCGTCTGGCCTATATTAATCTGTATGTTTAAAGGTTATATTCTGTATCTGAAGAAATGTTATTGTGCAGGCTAGCTATCACCTATATGAATGTGTTTGTTATTGTTGGAAGGTTTTATTTTGAAATAACTTTGTTCAAAAATATGCAGAGATAATTTGAGTTCCTGCAGCTGTGAACATCTACAGTCATGGTAGTTTTATACTTATTTTATAGTAAGAAAGTGCAATAACATGTCTGCTTTATAATCCTTCTAAATATCAGAGATGACAACACAATGTCTGCACAAGAGCTGTTCTCTGAATAACCTGAACATCTTCATGCAGTGTGCAGCAGATGTTTCAGTTTTTTCATCTAAACACTGAAAATGTCTCAAACTGTGAGAATTATTAACATCAAGGAAATCTTAGAGATTCCAAAAAAATACACTCTTTTTCTCTATAATCATTGAGCCAAATATATCTTCCTAGCACAAATTCAAAATATGTATAACAACATATTTCTTTTTTTCCATCTCTGATTCTCATATAATTTGTTTTGCCCTTCTGCTTTTATAAGTATGTAAAAGACCTAAAGAAGTAAAAATCTGATAAGGAATATGTACAACATGATAATTTGAAGCGTTTTCTATTAAAATATTAGCACTATGAATTTAAGTGGTTTTGAAATCTCTTGTACTATGAAAGTAGCCTCAAATCATATCTATGAAATAATTTCATTAACAGATCCACACCTATAAGACTACCACACAGTGGATGTTCAGTTACACCATCATCTGGATTACAAAGTAGTAGAAGGGGGTCATGGGCTACTTCTGATTTCAGAACCCCTCAGTTATATCCATTTACATCACCATCCCCACAGTCATCTGTAACAAGACATCCAATCACCATCTCTGGACTTCTGCAAAGACAACATTTAGGCAAGTATATTTTGTAAAATAACAACATCTAACACTTCCTGAAACATTTTCAGCATAACATATGCTTATTGCTTATTTACTGGAAAACAGTAAATAAGAAATTAAGCAACACAAAAATGATATTTCAAAATTGGAAGCAGGCTATCAGTAAAATATGAAAAATGTTGATGTATATGATCAGTATTTTGCCTTAGTCTTCTGTACAATAGAATATCTGCTGTGAAAATGTGTTCTTGCTTCATCTCAGAATGATATTTTAACAGAGATTTAAATCTGATAATTTCCATAATTGTTTTCTAGAAAAAAATACCAGTTCTAAATAACACAAAGCATATAATGATTTGGCAAAAACTAATTCTTGCAGCAAATTTCAAGTAAGAGTAGAGAAAAGAAAAACATGACTGAAGGAAGTGCTAGTGGGTGTCATAGCAAGACTGAGATAGTCAACGGGAGTCTTTTAATAAAGCAGAATAGATGAGTTGACACATGGGAAAGAAGCAAAAAAAAGTTTATAATTAAAAGAATGAATGGGAGACAGTTCCTGTAAGACTGAATGGCATGTTGTAGAAAGTGAGTGACCATTGACATCTCACTATGTCCAGCAGAGAAAAAACAAACATAAAAGGAAACTGCAATATTCTGAGAGTAAGTAGTGAAGAATTAGTCACCTGGTTATTAGGAACTAGGGAATATTAATGGAAATAAACAAAGGAGATAACTCATTCTGAAAATGAACAATGGATAGGGAATGAGCAGATGATGAGACAGAGGGGAGGAAGGAAGATATGTTAAGGAATAGGAAAAAAGGTGAGGAGTTGAAATAAGAAAAAAAGGTTGGGAGTAGAAAAGGAGGCCAGAAGAATGCATGGAACACAACAAAGTCTATAGAAGAGACAGATTAAAGAATTTATGAAGAATGGAGATAAGAATGCAGAATATTAGTGTAAAACAGGAGGCAGGATGACTGTAAAGGTTATCTTTCCTGTGAAGCAAGAAAAGTAGAAAAGAAATACTCTGGATAGTTACAACAAACAGACCAGACAAAAAAGCAAACAATACAGAAATGATGGGAAGAAAATTAAAGAAGACAAAAACATTTTCTAGTCTTTTTATGTTTTATAAATATTATTTATTTCATTGTACTTCTCTGTCACATACTCTCTGTCTTCATAGTTGGGAGGAAAGGCTTAGATGATAATTATGATCATTTGTTGCTGGTGATTTTTCCCATATTCTGTACAACATTGACTTTATTTTTTTTATAATTAGCTATTATCCCATCACAGATTTCACTAGTAATCTTCCCAATCCCATGATTTTTTCAGTCCTAGTACTGTTTTCTCATTTGCAAAATTTTCTGTCTCAACTTCACTTTTCTTACAGATCTAGCTGTCAAGACACCCACATACATGTCCGCAAGTGACAGTAAAGAGGGAGATAGTCCAGGGTAGTATTTGCTGAGTGCAGCATAAAACTAGCAAAAGTAGCTGCGTAGAGACCAGTCCAAGAGGGGTGTAGGTAGGAATTGTGCTGAGGCAGATTAATTCATAAAATCATAGAGTCACAGAATCACAGAATCATAGAACAGCCCAGGTTGGAAGGAACCTTGAAAGATAGTCTGGTCCAACCTTTTGTGGGAAAGGGAGCCTCGATGAGATTATCTAGCACATGACCAATCACGTTGTGGAAACCTAATTCTTCATATTGCAGAGTTTACATTACAGGTGAAGTCTGTAATTTACATTAAAAGGATAATTTGACTGTAAAGCATTTTTCAGTCCTTATTAATAATTGTGACCTTTCTATTCCAAGAGTAACACATCCCAAGCAGTTTTGAGTTCATGAAACTTCATGAAATAAAAATAAAGATATTTTAAGAAATTCAGTTGTACTTAAGTTATCAATGCTTATAGCTTGTGGGAGCTTAGATCATAATTGTTTTTCTTGTGGAACTTCTGAACAGTGATATAACGTGAAATAATGCAGGAACCTCCTAGAATCTGTAAATAATGTAGTAGAAATAGAATTTAAAAATAAAGCAGCTGTATTGAATTTAAGTATTAGTTGTCTTTGAGCTCTATGTTTACAAGTTAATTGCAATTCCTATGCAGAACAATGCTTTGGATATTCACTTGTGTAGCTGAAATTGGAATATGGCAAAAATGCTTTTACAGAAAGAGAGATCTAATTCTTTTATATAAATACAAAGGAGCATATTTAGATTCATAAAAAGAGCTATACAAATGTTCTCATCAAAATGTATGCGTTTCATTTTTCATTTTTGATAATTTTCACTTTCTGTCTTCCTTGAATAAGTTCGCAAAACAATTTACATGCATAAAGTTTTTCTTTAGTCTTACTAGATTTTTTTTCATTTGTACTTGTATTCTTATTCTAGGATCAACTAATTTTGGAGGACATTCAACGGAAAGATAAACAAACATCTGTGAATTGTTTTGGTCAATGAGCATCTGGAGAAGCCCTACACAGTCTTTGGATATCAAAGTATTTGTAATTTCTATAAAACGTCAAATTGGCATAAAACAGCTAAATATTCAGTGTAAATAATGTATTTAAAACATCACTGATCTTGCTGATTAACATCTACAGTAGTTTCAAACAGGAGTACAAAATCCTCTTGCTGTTTTTAGAAATTTTGGCTTAAAATGTATTGTATAAATACAATAAATATTGTATAAATAAACAGCCTTTATTAACTAAGTGTTAAGACAAAACATGATTATTTATTCAATAAGCATTTCTTGCTGTGAAAGCATTGAGCCACAGCAGAACTCCATTTTTAAATGGTTGGGTCTGTACAGTATCAGAGATGAGCCCTAATCCTAAAAAAATTTTAATTTATGGATTTTTGATTCTGGCATTCCAAATTTTGGTTCTTACTCAATAGAATGCTTTTTGTTTGCACAGTTAAAAGGGGTAAGGTTTGAGGGATATTACAATCTAGCAGGCTCTGCAAAGCTAGTAATACAGTATCTATTTGACACTTTACCATTTGATTTAGGTAGCAATGATTTCTTCCCAAAATGGAATGAAACGGGGGAACAGGGATGAAGAGAGAAAACACGGTGGGACTACCTTTAGTCTCACACAGGAATAGCAACTGGAGACTCTGAATGAAGGGTGCCAGAATGCAACATTTTTCTTTTGAGAATAACTCTTAAGTTGAAATTCCCACTGTTACTATGTATATCCGCAAAATTTTGATATGACTGAGTCATCAAATATGCACCTTTTTTTTGTTTTAGCCCTAACTTTACCTGGACTATTTTAAAAATAATAAAACTAAAAGCTGTTTTTTTGAGGTAAAGTCCTCTGAGTACATGATAAGTTTCTTTTGGGTTGAAATGTTTTGCTTGTCCTAAAAGAAAAATTTGAACAGAAAGGGGAGTATAAAGGAGTTTTTTTGTAATGCTGAGACAAAGTGTTAATTCACCTAAAAACAGAAGAGTGAATCGTTGTCCTTACTATCTGTGAATTTGATTTCATCATTCTTACATAATCCCCCTAGATAGCTACTGTTGTGAATTTTAACTGACAAGTGTGTCCCGTGAATGAGAGTAAAATAGATAGAGGAACAGCTGTTTTGTGAACGTCTCTGGAGCAGGGGCTTCCATAACAAATTCTGAGCTTCACATATCCCTTACTACAGTGTAAAACTACTTTTAGTTTTTTACCATGGGAAAATTCCTGTGTTTTCTCCTGCCCAATATTCTTAGACTTCCAATTTTAGATGAGATTTCTAAGTAAATTTCCTTTCAAGCGAACTTCCATTTGGAAGATTCAGTTTTACAATACCACAGACATATACAAGTAAAAGAGTGTGGTGTAACTTTTTAAAATTCTTACTCCCCTTCAATTTCGGATGAGCTAGAATAGCTTGAAAAATGAGGCTAGTAAAATATGATTGCTGGCATTAATTGTACACCAGTGGTTTTCTGTTTGTTTGGATGACAAGATGGTATTCTTTCTAATTTCTATTTTGTCACAGTGCAGAGTAATCATCCAAGTCTGCAGAGTCATACTATAGCTTTTATAATTGCTGAGAGTTGCATTCTACAAACAGGTGAAATGTCTGGGTTTTATTAGTTTTGTTTCTTGCCCGCCCCCACCCCATGCCCACCAATCGCACAGTTGTAAATGAAGACAGAATTGGAGGTTGATAAAGCCGCAAAATGGTGTGTATAAATGGGACTTGTCTGAATGTTCCCTGGAAGGAATCATATAGGAAGGAGTCATATATGCTAGTTCTACAGAACAAACAATAATAAAAAATATACCCTGTCATTCAAAGAAGTGAATAAGTATACCCAGAGAGCTGAATGATTTACATATTGCTGCTCACTGCAGTGTTTTCCGCACAAATTCAGTAATGATCTTCATGGCTCTGGTAATCTGCACCAGTTCACCTTTTCTGTGGTAAAATCTCGAGAGAGGCAGAGCATGTTTTGTGGCTGTAAGTTGAAAAGAGAACTTGGAAAATCACATCAATGAAGAAGTATGGTATAAAAATAGGTATTTATATAATTTTACTTCTGCTTTGAACTACTTAGTAAAATCTAGCAGTATCTTCTATTTAACAGGTACTACCTAGTCTATTTGAGCCCACAGTCCAATCCTGAAGGAAAAAAGTGCTCATCTTCAGAGTTGTTACAACTTTGAAAGGCATAGTGAAGAGAAAAACATAATGTAATTTGAATTAAAAAAAAAAAAAAAAGGCACAGGAGGTATACATGCTGAGTAGAAATACCTTTGAATGACACTCGTTTCCCAGTTCAGACAAAATGAAAATTTTGAAAACATAAGTAAATGAACTGACTATAATGTGAAAATTTTCAAAACTTACATCTAAGTGTCTCTCATATAATGTAAAATAATTCCTAGAAAAAAATAATTAAAAAGAAAAAAGCCATTAGAGGAATGTAATTTGCCAAATCCAATGCTTTTATCATTTGTTCAAGAAAAGTTGAAAATACTTTTAATTCAATATTTTCTTCTTTAAGAAGAGGAGAAGGATAAAAATCAAAGTTTTCTCTACCTGCCAATAAGCACAAAAGTTTGTATATTCATCTCTTAGGCATCCATCTTCACCGAACTTTTCTTACTTTTGTGAGTAAGTCCTTCACGTCCTTCGCTTTTTAAGGAAATTTGCAGTACACAAATGATACACCAGAGGGTGCTAACTTACCTCTAAACAAATTTATTTGGTCACAGCGCTCTTTGGGTAGGTGGAGTAAAATCTGTACTATTCCTGCCTTTTCAGTTTGGAGTTTATATAGAAAAACTACAGATAATAAAAAGAAGGGCAACAAACTGATGTAGAGCCTGAAGATGAAACATCAGAAAAACATCCGAAGATGAACAACAAATGTGGGGGATGGAATGAACTAAACTGGAAGTTAATAATTCAGATATCATAGTCCACAAATATGTGAAAGGTAACGATGGAGGCAGGGATCAGTCATACTGGTGGGGTAAGTAGTAGTGGTCTGAAGGAAGAAATTATTTAGGCTTAATATTGGGAAACTTTCTTGACAGAGTACTTTGGCAGCACACTTGTCTCCCAGGATAGGGTCAATGCACCATCACAGTGGGTATTCACGTCTTCAGAATTAAGATGCCAGTGCTAAAGCTGTGGTGTGCAGCTTTAAGAAACAGAGACTGTGCTGGCCTCAAGTTCTTTTCAATGTTTCTGTCTGCAGCTTTCTGGCTTTAAGTCATAAGAGGGTCCTAATTTATCTTTTGCAATGTTATGGCAGAGAACACAGGAGTATATATTTCACTACAAGGGTGTTTTATGCACATACAAACAATAGCATAAGATTTTATTACAAGTCAGAATCATGCTATTCATGCAATGGGGTCACCACTAATGCTGAAGGTATCCTCTTGTTTGCATTATCGTTGCCAGCCTCAGCTTCATTTCACAGTCATCACTTACCTTTTTCACAAGGTGACACTTATACCATATAAGGTAGCATCATGTCTATTTATTGCTTTGTAATACAAAGGAAGTCTGTTGCAGACAGATGCTTAGTCTGTTAGACATAATAGTATCAAATTGCCAAGTAGCATTTTCTACAATTGTGCCAATTAAAATGCAAAATTGCTACCACTTATTTTTGAACTCTCATGTTCTGGCAGTCAGGAAAGAATGCCATAACTCATCAAGATGCAGCACTGCTGGCTTATCTGTGATAGTCCTATTTTTCCTCTAGAATTTAACCTGCTCGTGACCTGAGGAAATGCAATTTGATTGTTCTCTCCTTCTGTGGTGTCTGTGTCAAAAGTGCCAACATACTTCAGTCTGTAGATCAGCTTTATGTGCCTCTGGAGCACATGCTGTTTCTGATGGTCAGATACGTGCCATTGTGCCGGACTCTTCCTACAAATCTTTTCTGTGCAGATAGAAACATTCACGTGGATAGGAGGACACTGCTCATGTCCATGCTGTGAACGTTTGGGGCTCTTTCCTATTGCACCTTTAGGATTACTAGGTATCCCATCAGCTCCAGCAAGCTTCAGCACTATGCAGTCACTAAATCATCTGCATCGCCAGAATCCCTGACTGCTACAACACTTTGTGGGGAAAACTGTGCGATTGGCACCAATATGTACCAGTGCCCTTCCTAACAAAAGGATCGGCTTGCTGAATGTCTTCGTGGAGGAGGTTAGTGATGTCCTGCCCCAAGGATCCTTTGGCTGGTGTGTCCCATGACCTCTGGTCAGCTTTTCCCTCGTTATGTCTAAAGCCCTGATACTTTATCCCTTGGAAAGATGATAAACATTTGTCCTGGACTCCTGAGAGTACAGTAATACCAGGGACTATGGTGCCAGCTGTCTGGAGGGGAGAGGGAAAGGACTTTCTTGGGATAAAGTGATATTTGTGTGGTGACAAGGTGGGAAAGACATGACTGAGCGTGTTAAAGGCTTTTCAGTGTTAGGCGTCAGTGTTACCAAGTTACTCACAATTTATCACCAGCAAAAGAAGAAAACTCTTTCTATTCTGCAAATGAAAATAGTTGCTTTCTTTTTCTACACGGAACATGGGAAAGGTCCCTCACAGCCCTGCCCATAGCAAACAGCAGTCCCCTGACCTTGCTGCCGTAGAGCTATTCAGAAGCCATCAAATCTTGACAAGAGACTGTTCTACATCCTGGTCCACCTTGCAATACTCGGAAAGCAGGTGCTTACCCCAGCTGTGCTACCAAGACCCACTTGCAAAAAAACCTCTGCAGAAGATCAATAATGCTGAGAGAATCCACTTTAATTCTGGCACTCTAGAGAACAACCCCATGCAGGCGTTATTTTGTCCTAACCAGCACAGGGCCTCTCAAATAAAGGCATACAGCACATTTCCTATCAGGGCAGCCTCCACAAGATCAAGGGCTGTCTGTCCCCGTGTTAAGGCATCTGGA